CTCCCACCTAATTGGCTGCATCATCCAAAATTTCTACTACGTGTGACACGTATCTTCCCTCTTTGTGCTTGCCGTCCATTCTGCCGTTCAGAATTTCAATCTAATTCGAAAGGATTAATCTTCATCTTCTTTTCTCCCAATGTCGTGATCGGAATTAATTTCGGCAGTCTTCCACATACCGTCGTGGCCCTCGTAGAGGCTCTGGACGATCCCTCTCTCACCGCTTGCATGCCCTGCTTCGTGATACGTCGAGCGTTGATGATGGCACTGCCTCAGATGGTTCTGCGAGTGACCCAGATCAGGGACCCAACCCTCAGTCCCCCTCAGAGGACGACGCCTCTTCCCAGGACGACCGCCTCGTCCGAGCCCTTTTCGCCCTCCTCCGTTGCCAGCCCTCATCCTCCATGCGCAAAAGTTGCTGGCACAAACGGTTCATCTGTTCAGTCTGGCGATTCGTTTCGGGATGTCTCCCTGGCGACATGGTCAGTCGCGTGCCATAAGCTTCCATCAGCTTTTGCCATCGCAAACTGGTGAACCTGACATCTCGATCAGACACAATGGATTTAGGGAACCCATACTCAGTGACCCATCTCATCTGAAATTTCTGGATGACAAGTTCAGTACGCGCTTCTGCTGGTAAGGGAACAAACACAGCGTATTTAGAAAAACGGTCCACAATTACCATCACTTGACTATTACCATTGCGACTTTTAACCAGACTCATGAAGTCAATTGAGATAAACTCACCTGGTTCACTTGGTATAGGTAATGGCTTGAGAAGTCCAAAGGGATTCTCATGCGGCGGCTTGTTTCTCTGGCACACTAAACAGGTACATACATATGTTAGTACATCTTTTTTAAGTCCCTTCCATTCAAAACGTTCTCTGACTTCAACATATGTTTTCTTGAAACCAAAATGACCCTAAGAATCGTGACATTCCCCAATCAACAGACTCCTAAACCACCAGTACCTGGCCCAGCTATAGAGTCCGGGCCTCGACCGACCGGTACGCCGATCCGTGCCGAGGCTCGGACTACCGGGCGCAGGCATCCTGAACGTCGGAGTGAAAGAACGAAAAAAACGAAAAAAAAAAAACACCGGGCGCAGGCATCCCGAACGTCGGA